CCGTGTCCACGGCCATGGGCAGGCCGCGCTCGCGGTCAGCCCAGCCGGCCGCCTGGCGGTGGACCAGGGCGCCGCCACGCGCCACCAGCACCACGGCGCCGACCAGGCGCTGCGCCTCAAGCGCCTGCCGGACCACGGCCTGGATGCGGTCGGACAGGGGCGAGTTCAACGGGGCTGCAGGCAGCGCAGCGGGTGCAGCAGATGCCGCAGAAAGAGCAATCGTCATGGGAATTCCCGGGATCAATGAACAGGGTCCTGACGATAGAAAGCCCTCGATTAAAGAAAAAGTGGGGTAGATTTCCGGGTTATGCGGAGCTTTCTGTCCGCAATGAAGGAGTGGCCTTGGACAGCCTCAACGGTTTCCTGGTGTTCGTGCAGGTCGCCGAGACCCGCAGCTTCGTGGCGGCAGGCCGGCTGATGGGAGTCTCGGCATCGGCCATCGGCAAGAGCGTGGCAAGGCTGGAGGACCGGCTGGGCGTGCGCCTGTTCCACCGCAGCACGCGCAGCATCACGCTGACGGCCGAGGGCACGCTGTTCCTGGAGCGCAGCCGGCGCATCCTGGCCGAGATCGAGGCCGCGCAGCTGGAGCTGTCGCAGGCCAGCGCCGCGCCGCGTGGCCGGCTGCGAGTCAGCCTGCCCCTGGTCAGCTCGCTGGTGCTGCCGGTGCTGGGCGAGTTCATGCGCGCCTATCCCGAGATCGAGCTGGACCTGGACTTCACGGACCAGCTGGTGGATGTGATCGAGGAAGGCTTCGATGCCGTGGTGCGCACGGGCGCGCCGCCGACTCCCGGCTGTCCGCGCGCCGGCTGGGCGCCTTCGGCTACCTGCTGGTGGCCTCGCCCGGCTATCTGGCACAGCGCGGCACGCCCCGGGTGCCCGAGGATCTGCTGCAGCACAGCTGCCTGCACTACCGCTACCCCCCACAGCGGCAAGCTGGAGCCCTGGGTGCTGCGGCGCGCAGCGGGCGCGCCCGAGCTGCAGCTGCCCACCTCCATGATCTGCAACAACATCGAAACCCGGCTGTGCTTTGCGCTGCAGGGCCTGGGCATCGCCTACCTGCCGGATTTTTCCATCCGCGAGCCGCTGGCCGACGGCCGGCTGCAGCCCGTGCTGGCGGACTGGATGGAGCACACCAATGTCTTCCACGTGCTGTGGCCCGCCAGCAGGCACCCCTCGCCCAAGCTGCGGGCACTGGTGGACTTCCTGTGCGCGCGGGTGTTTCCACAGGCGCAGCCCGGGCAGGTCCAGGACGCTGCCAGGACCGGGGCGCCCAAGACACCCAAGACACCCCAGACATCCGGGACGCGCGGATAGGCTGCGCGCCGGCTGCTGCCCTGACTTGCTGGCTATCGCGCAGGCCCCCATCTGAGTTAGCATGCTTATAGAGCGACGTATTCACAGAGTCATATCGGTTGCTCTGGCCCACCGGCAGGCAGGACCTGCGTCTCGAGCGCTGTGGCGTGCGGGGCGCTGTATCGGTGGGCCATTGCGGTTGACAGCTGGCGTTGCAGATCTTTTTTCTTGTCTCGCTGCGTTGCATGTCTTCTCGTTCCACCGCTATCCATCGTCCCGCCCTTTCCTCGCGATCGCACGCAAGAACATCGTTGGCCGTCATTGCAGGCGTCTGCTTGATGGCGCTCGCAGCGGGGCTGTACTGGGCCGCGTTGCTGGCCAGCCACCAGTACATGCAGCGCTACACACAGGATCAGGCATGGCTGCGCGTCTCGCAGATGTCCCAGGCGGTTTCCGCGCAGGCCGGGACCATGCTGTCGGGCCTGAACTATTCCCTGCGGGACCTGGCCCAGGACTACGAGTCGGGTGACTCCGAGGCGTTCGGGCGGGCCGTCGCCAGCGTCCAGGAGGCCTATCCGCCCGGCACCATCGTCCAGGTGGCCGTGGCCGATGCAAAGGGCCAGGTGGTGTATTCGAGCCTGGCAGCCTCGGAGCCGCCTGCGCAGGGCGTGTCCATTTTCGACCGCGAACATTTCCAGGCGCATCTGAAGGGCCTGACGCAGGGAACCTTCATTGGCCGTCCGGTACAGGGACGGGTTTCCGGGCAATGGGGTATCCAGCTGAGCCGCGCCCTGCACCACCGTGGCGCGTTTGCGGGCGTGCTGGTGGTGTCGCTGTCGCCGCAGTACCTGTCACGGCAGTTGCAGGCCATCTTCGACAGCCCGCGCGACGTGATCTTGCTGCTTGCGCGAGGACGGCACCTATCTTGCACGCTCGCAGAACCAGGACCGGGTGCTCGGGCGCCAGTTGCCCGCGAAGCGGGTGGCGCTGTTTGCCCCCGATGTCACGCATGGCACCTACGAGGTGCTGGCGAGCACCGACGGAATACAGCGCATGTATGCCTGGAGCCGCGTCAGCGGCTTTCCGATACTGGTGAGCACGGGGCTGGACCACGAGGCCGTGTTCGGCCCGCTCAACGAGACCATACGGCAGAGCCTGTGGCGCAACGGCATAGGCACGCTGCTGATTTTTCTGGGCGGGATGCTGACGGCCTGGCTGGCGTTCCAGCGCTGGCGGGAGGAGGACCAGCGGGTCCAGTCCGAAGAGCGCTTTCATCTCCTGTCGCAGGAAGTGCCGGGCGGCCTGTTCCAGTACAGCTGGGACCCTGCCGGCCACTACGCCCTGTCGTTTGCCAACCCCGGCTTTTATGCCATGCACTGCATCGATCCGGATACGGCAGACACCGCCTTGCAGGACCTGGCACAGCGGGTTCATCCGGAAGATATCTCCGCGCTCAGGCGGTCCATCGACGAAGCGATGCGCAGCCAGGGGGACTGGG